GTAAAAAAAAAGAAAAAAGAAAAAAAGAAGAAATAAAAAGGGGGGGGGAGGGGAGGAGGGGGTCGAAGTGGGAGAGCTAGATCTTAAAAAAGGAGAAAAAAGGAATGGATAAATCGAAGAAAGAATGGGAGAGGAAGGAGAGAAAGAGGAAGATGAGGATAGAATTAAGGATAGAATGAGGGACGAAGGAATTGTAAAAGGGGATAAGGCGAAGCGAAAGAATAAATAGAGAAAAAAAAGGAAGGACGAAAAGTAACACAAAATATAATGATGACTGATAAGTGGGTATGGGAGGAAGGGAAAGGGAGGGAGAGAGTAAGGGAAAGAATAAGAGAGAGAGAGAGAACTAATAAAAGGGGAGATGGGAGAGGGGAAAAAATGTGTGAATGGGTGTAGAAAGGACGAGGAAGAATGGGGAAAAAATAAAGAAAGAATGGGAGAAAGGACATAGGAAGAAGCAGAAAATTAGAAAAGGAGAGAAAGGAGAAGAACAAGAGAACACAAACGGAAACGAGAATAAGGAGAGAAGAAGAGAGAGTGAGGGAGAAAAGGAGAGAGGGAGGGGAGAAGGAGGATAAATCAAAGAAATAGAGACGGGAAATAATAAAAGGGGTGAACGGGAGAAGAGGGAAGGGAAGGGAAGACAATAAACGTATATAAGGGATGAGATAATAAAAAAAGACGTGGCTGGAAATAGTAAAATAGGTTATGAAGAAGGAGAGAATAGGAGAGACATAAATAACTGAAGGAATATAGATAGAGGGAAAGGGGGAGAAGGGATTTAAAAGGGAAAGAGAGAAAAAGTGAAACAGAGCAGTATATAAATAGATATATAGATAAACAAATTGATAGATAGTCTGATTAATGAACAGATACACATATAACTAGATAGACAGGAAGACAGATAGGAAGATAGATAGATAAATAGATAAACAAACAAACAGACTGATAGATAGATGAACAAATAGAGGAAAGAGGTATTAGGAGAGGAAGAGAGAGATAGAGACATAGAAAGACAGACAGATACATAAAGAAATAGATAGATAGATAGACAGAAAGACAGATAGATAGGTAAATAGAGAAAGAGAGAGAAAGAGAGAGAGAGAGTGATTTACACATCACTCTCCAAAAATAATTTGAATATGAGTATTGAGCCAAAGAGCAACAAATGATTATTTCAACGCAACAAAATCTACAGCAGATACTAAATTACACAAGCATCATATAAATACTATATATTCACTTTGTCTTTCTGTTCAATAAATCATTGGAATATAAGTTAACATTTCGAGAAAATTGAATTATGTTCTCTCTGATTTATGTTCTATGCATGGCAGTCACTGAATATCAAAGTGATGTGCCTTCATATAACTTATTTGCTTTAAGATATTTTATTTATTAGTAAATTGAATGCAATCAAGCAGTGGTATGGCCTATTAAGGATAAATCGAGACATACATATATACAGTGAGAAGATAGACAGACAGAGATAGATAGATTAACATATATAAGAAGATAGGTATAGATCCATAGATATATAGATAGATGAAAGGCAGACAAACAGACAGGTAGATAGATAGATAGATACATAGGGGAGTAAATAGAGAAACAGGTATTTATATACAAATATACACACATACATATATACTATATACATAGATAGATAGATAGATAAATAGATAGATAGATAGACAGACAGACAGATAGATAGATAGATAGATAGATAAATTGGTTGATTGACTGATAGATAAACCGACAAAATTGTACACGTACATAACATAAAAAGAATGAGAAATATGTAAGTTTCCAAATTTTATAAATGATTAAACAGACGTATATATCCTTTTCTTTATCTTTTTTTCTATTCAATGTATAGATTATGCGTGGAATTACAGTGATAAATGAAGGGGATAATTAATTCAATTAGTGGTAAGTGGGTATCTTGATTGGTCATGGATTATTAAAATGTGAATTCCTATAAATCAGCGTACGAATAGAACGAATTATAGTGGTGATGAATGACTGGATGATAAGCAGTGGTATTAATTACGTGTGCGAAAGATTTTTTTTTTTTTTTATCGATTAGTATTTGATTTATTGCAGTAGGTAAGTCGATAAGAAATAAATAAATCATTAAGGAATAAATAGATGGATAAGAATGAGATTAAAAATAAATAAAAATGATAAATAGGTAATAGATATATTAATAAATAAAAAGTGGACCGGAGGAATTAGATGAATATAGAAGAAACGAGAAATGGAAAGACACAGGGAGGAAGAAAATGGAGAATTGAAAGAGAGTGAAAAAATATCAGTGAAATAAACGAAGTGAGAAGTTCGTGAATTAAAGGGAAGCAATAAGAATAAATAAACAAGAAAAGGGACAGAATATAATGAAATTAGAACAGCGAAGAAGCAAAAGAAAAAAAAAGGCAGAAGTGATAACAGTGAAGAGAGGAAAAGAGAAAGAAGGTGTTAGATAAAAGATAAAGAGGAAAAATACATAATGGAGAGAGCCAATGATAGGGGTAAAGGAATAAAGAAAACAGCGTATATAGAGAGAATGAGATGAAAATGAAAATTGGAAAGAGGTGGTAAGAAAAGAAATGTAAGAATGAGAGAGAAAAAGGAAAACACAGAAAAGAAGATAACAAAGGTATAAGAGGGGAAGGAAAGAAGGTTTAACGACAATTTACACGAAATGTAAAGAAAAAGAACGAAGATAATAGAGTAGGGAAGAGGAAGAATAGAGAAAAGAGGAGTATAACAAAAGATAACACGAAAAGAAGAGAGGAAAAAAGATAATACCAAATAAACGACCAGGAACAGCGAAAGGAGAAGTTAACAAGAATATTTACGAAAAATAGAAAAGAGAAAAAGTGAGATAATAGCAATAAAAGGGAATAGATATCATAAACCAAAGATAAACGCCAAAAGTGGGAAAAGAGGGGGAGGGACGAAAAGCGAAGAAAGCGAGAAAGGGGAAAGAAAAAGACAAATAACGAGGAAAGAGATTGGGATGAAGATTTGAAAGAACTTGATAAATGTGGAGAAGGATAAAAAAAAAAAAAATGAGAGAAGAGTAAGAAAGACGGAAAAGAAGAAGAAAAAAAGAGAGAGAAAAATAAAATAATCCTAAAATAAACACGAAAAAAACGAGGAAAACATCATAAAAAAAAAAACAGATACTCAAAAAAAGATAATAGGGAAAGGTTAAAAAAAAAAGTCAGAGATTACGAAGAGGAGAAGAAGAAAAAGAGAGAAAGAGAAAGAAAGGAAAACAGAATCCTTCTTAACAGCTTTAATTCCCTGGTTCAGACAAGGAGAATGCACGTCTTAGGAGATGAATAAGGCGAATTTCCTCTAAAATAATGAGGCGAATGGGAGGTGGGAGAAGGAAGGAGAAAAGGGGAAATAGAGGATGGAGGAGAGAAAAGGGGAAATGGAGGATAGAGAAGAGAAAAGGGGAAATGGAAGATGGAGAAGAGAAAAGGGAAATGGAAGATGGAGGAGAGAAAAGGGGAAATAGAGGATGGAGGAGAGAAAAGGGGAAATAGAGGATGGAGGAGAAAAAAGGGGAAATGGAGGATGGAGGGGAGAAAATCGGAAATGAAGGTTATAGAAGAGAAAAGGGGAAATAGAGGATGGAGGAGAGAAAAGGGGAAATGGAAGATGGAGAAGAGAAAAAGGGAAATGGAAGATGGAGGGGAGAAAAGGGGAAATGGAGGATGGAGGAGAGAAAAGGGGAAATAGAGGATGGAGGAGAGAAAAGGGGAAATGGAAGATGGAGGAGAGAAAAGAGGAAATGGAAGATGGAGGAGAGAAAAGGGGAAATGGAGGATGGAGGAGAGAAAAGGGGAAATGGAGGATGGAGAAGAGAAAAAGGGAAATGGAGGATAGAGAAGAGAAAAGGGGAAATGGAGGATAGAGAAGAGAAAAGGGGAAATGGAGGATGGAGAAGAGAAAAGGGGAAATGGAGGATGGGAAGAGGGAGACGAGAGAACAAGAAATGAGGGGAAGGGAATGGTAACAGAAGGAGAATAAGGAGAAGGAGAAAAAGGGAATAATGTTAAATGTATGAGTAACAGCACGAAGAAGACGAAGAAGAAGAAAAAAGAAAAAGAAGAAGATGAAGAAGATGATGAAGAAGAAGAAGAAGAAGAAGAAGAAGAAGAAGAAGAAGAAGAAGAAGAAGAAGAAGAAGAAGAAGAAGAAGAAGAAGAAGAAGAAGGAGAAGAAGAAGAAGAAGAAGAAAGAAAAGAAAAAGAAGAGGACAATTAAAAGAAGAAAAGGAAGAAGAAAAAGAAGGGGAAGAGTAAGACGAAAAAAGATGATGATGAAAGGGAAAAGAAAGAGTATGTAAGAGAGAAAGGAAGGAATGAAAAGAGGAAATGACGGAGGAGAAAAGATGGAAGAGAAGGAGGGAAAAACAGGAAAGAGAGAGGTTGAAAAATAGGAGAAAGGAAGACGCGTAAAAAAGTGGAAAGTGGAAAAAGAAAAATAAAGAAAAAAGAAAGTAGAAGAGGGGAAAATCAGGAGGAAGAGGGTAGTAAAGAGGGAAGCAGGGGGGGGGGTATAAGAAAGGAGAGGGCAGCGGGGTAGGAAGAAGAAGAAGAGGGATAGAAGTGTAGTAAAAAAGGGGGAAGGAGGTAGGAAGAGAGAGAGGAATAGATGAAAGGAAAGGGTAAGGGAGAGGAGAAGAATAGATTGGAAAAGGAAGAAGAGTAGAAGAGTTGAGAGAATGGAGGTAGGAAGGAGGTAGGGAGAGAAAGAGGAGTAGAAGATAGGAAAGGATAAGGGAGAGGGAAGAAGAGGGGGAAGGGGGTAGGAAGAAAAAAGAGAATGAGGAAAAGGGATGACAACACTAACTACGAAAGGATAAGATAGAGAAGGAAGGAGATAGAAGAAGATGGAAGGAAGAAAGGAAGAAAAGAATGAGATAGGAAGAAATGGTGGATACGGAGTAAGAAAGAAGAAGCAAGAGGGGATGGGAGAAAACG